AGCGGTGCTGTTGCTGTGATGGCTGAAAGCCCCGGTGTACATGAGTTGCATTCAGAGTAAGCTTTGAACTGTGCAAAGTGCATGCAAACTAGTGGTGTAATGGAATGCAAACTGGTGCTTTGACCTGATTACATTTTTTTAAAGCCCCAATTTCTCCACTCCTTCACATTATATGTTGTCACACTGATGGGAGGTGAAATTAGCAATCCCTTTGTGATTTGGTAACATTTTATGGTGGCTTTGCATTGGCACAAAAAGCAAGTACACAATGAAAAGCTGCTGCTTCCCCTGTCTGAAGACAGCTAGATGAATTTCACAGCTAAATCCTGCTTGGAAAAACAAACCTAAAAAGCGCAGTGAGGCCACAGGTTCCTTTACACTGCAGCAAGCGATGAAAAAGAACAAACATTGCTCCAGAAAAACTGTGGAGAAAGAGTCACTGACCATAACTCCTTTCCAACATCAATTCATTTTCCCCTTAGTTTAATGTTGAAAACGAAGTTGTAACTCAATCATTGACCATGGAATTCATCCCATGCAAGGACCACCAACAATGTGGTCCAGGTGTGGATTATAAATATCATCAGGAAGAGACATTCTGTGTCCCAGGGGCATTAATCCTGCAGCCAGTGCTCTTCCTTTTATATTCTGATTTTAAGCCTGCCATTTTTAAGGCTTCTCAGCAAAACTTTCTCTTGCAGAGGATTCCTACCACAACAAGCACAGTGATACACCTAAACTGAATGAAGCCCTATAGTGGTACTACAGTTGTAACAACATTGGAGTTTATACCTACCAATTCTTGGATAAAAATTACCATCTGGAAGTTTGCAGAGAAATTCTGGACTTGTCCCATACCATGGGACAGGATACCATACACTGGAAAAGCATATGTGTGCAGACAGCATCCTTGAGCTTTCCAAAACCAGGAAATAGTTTGACCCAAAAGAAACTGAGAAAGGTAGAGGGCCTTGAACAGAGGCACAAAACAATAATAATTTATACACAGGCATTTCAAGTTACCATTTATTCATCTGGAGTCAGAATTATATAAACAAGGGAGTATAAGCCTACTTTTCTGGCTCTCAGTATTTTTTTCACATAAGCTTTTATTTCCTTTTTCTCATAAAAATGTAAAGGGAGAAAAATATTACATTTACTAATTTATTTATTTACAACTTTTCAGTATAATTAAGGCAGAAATAGGAAATAAGCCCTTCTGGAATTAGGTAGTCCTGGCTCAGTGGCTCAAATATTAATACATTGCCCTGTCTCACCTTTGCTACCCCATGTTTTCATCCCAATCAATCATCTTGACTGCACAGTAATGCAAGTACTTCTGAGTAGAATCTCTTGGTCATGAACCAGAATCTGCTTTTCTAAAGCAATAGCACAAAGGAAGGAAAGATCCCTCTGGTGTGGCATCTGCACTGGGTATTGCTTTAAAGTAAGTGGGATTCTGCCAGGGTTCTTTCCTCCCAGCAGAGCTGAGTCAGGGTTTAAGCTAAAGAGATATCCCAACACAATTGAAGCCTGTCTTGAGCTCACTTTTTCCCTAAGAGACCCTGCACCATGACAAGGTACCATTTGCTGTTTTTATTGCCTTCTAGTAGCCCAAAAATTTACCAAACCAAGGAGGGTGTTTACTTTCCTTGAGCGAGCATGCAGCAGAGAGAGGAGACATGTTCTGTCACTCTGCGTGACTTCGGTGACATCAGTAGTTTGGTTCACTTGTTTAAAGAAGCAAGGGCAACATAAAACTATGAATGCCCATCTTTCAGTGTGAGTTAAAATACTCTATAAAAACTGTGATCAAATGTTTTCCCAGGTCTAGTTCAGTTTGAAAAGATACAGCTTTGTATAAAATGCCAAATGTTTCCTGATGAAGCTTTCCTTTCTGATTGCAGTTTATGAATTCACATAAGCCTGTGAAAAGGAGCAAAAACAAATGCCCAGATTCATTGAATCAGAGAAGATGTTTTATTAACTGGATTCTCTCATTGCCCTTTCTTTTCATGCCAGGTGCAGTAACAGAAAAATAAATTCAATTTGCAGACTCCTGTCATCCTCTGGATCTTTGGATCAGTCTCTCAGCCTCATTCATTGCTTCTGAGAATGAACTTCTAAACACCTGCTGTGGTCGAAACTGTTCTTACATCATCTCCTGAACACAGTGACTTCAATCACATGAAATCATGAGGTTAATGCCACAGTCGAGACTTCAAAGCTGTTTCTGCAGACCTGAGCTGTTTTTTTTTTATTTTTTAAATGCTACAGTAGCTGCTAGTTCTTAACCAACAGAAGAATTACCAAAGTTGTCAGTGTTCTGCTTATCATGCAATAGAAGAAGATGGGAAAATTTTCTAGAAGAATTGCAGTCTGGGTGGGGGCGACAGTACCATAGGATGAGCTCTCCACTTAATCTCAGATTAATTTTGGTTTTTGTCTTTTTGTATAAAATGGAGATGAATATCCTTGTTCTGTATAACCTACTTGAACCAGATGACCTTTAAAAGGTCCCTTCCAACTCAAACTATTCTATGATTCTATTAAATTGTTAGCTGTGCTAAAAAGGGGATTCTCACAAGAAAAAAAGGTGATTACAGGGCTTACTAATGAGGGTAAGAGATCAGGCTGCAAGGGGAACTATCTTCAGAGAGACACTTTGAACAATCTTTCAGAAAGGGGGAGATACTGATACATATCTAAATGAGTCTGATGAGTTATGTGCACTAGCAGAAAACTTTCCTCTGACTACAAAGTCCCCTCTGGTTCTGTGTTTCTGAGTTGTAGGACAATGAAATTCTTAAATGTTAATTATGCAAGTAGCAACAGCAACTATCTATTGATCAATAACATTAATTATAGACTGGATTGATTGGATGTTGCTTGTGACTGAATAAAACCAGAAGAACAGACAAATCTCTTCTTGTAAAATAAGACTCCAAAGGAAAAGCATGCTTATCTAGGCTTGGCTTTCAGAGAGACTTCACCCAATTCCTGTTCATTAATTCCACCAATGGAATTAATCCAGAGTAACACATTTTTTGGGGTTCCTGTGAAGGTGAGATCAGAATCAGGTCCACTGTCTCCAGTTAGGTCCAAGGTATGTTAATTGTCAATACTAGGATTCTAAAACTTTCTTGGATAAACTGAAACATTACTTTTATTTCCTATAAAGCTTCATGAATGTACAACATGATTCCTGGATATACATCACATCAGCTCCACAGTTATTAATTTACGGATTTCTCACTGACCTTAGCTCAGCTCTGGGAATGGTGCCAGCACAATTACAGTAACTCTGAATAAAGAGACATAAAGCTTCTGTATCTACCCTGAAGCTGTGCCAGGATTTTCTCTTCCACAGTGATGGAAAGATGCATTTCTTCGATTGGTTTCACATAGTTCAGACTGCATTGGCCATAAGTAGATTATTTCCAGCAAAGTAAGGAAAAGAAGAAAATTGCCATGCAGATGCGTGCATACACAATACATGTGCTCCACAGATAACTTTTGGGAAGCGTGTCCCAAGAAGGTGCATGTTGGAAAACTGAGTCAAGGTGATTTGAGCTAGTTACCTGGGGGAAAAAAGAACGGCAGAACTGGGAATAAAATTCCAGGGGCAGATGCTTGATTCAGTATTGTTTTCACTGAATCACACTACCTTCCTGGAGCACGTCAAGGCCCATTGCCTTCCTTCCTGTGAAGATGGGCAGCTGGATTGCAATGACAGCAGGTGGAGCTGAGTGTGCTCATCACCTTGGAAAATCCGGCCCCTGGTGATTCTCCCTGATGTTAATTGACCGTCAGACCCTGCAAGAGGGGAGTCAACACATTTCCTGACCTATGGTCTAAGTGTTTTCCAAACCCTAGAGTAAATTGAATGTAGTTACAGAGGAAACGCTGATGCAATCCACCAGCAGCTGCTGCTCTCCCACATCCTCACAAAGGTGTGAGGGGGTGAGCTGCAGCAAGCAGTGCAGTCAAAACCCCAGCCGCTTCTACATGGCGGGCAGGACTCTGCCTTCCTGCCTCTGAGAGAAACACTGCTAAGGGCTGCTCCCCAGAAAACGCTGGGGACCATCCTGAAGGTAAACCCCTGAAACAGCAGCTTTTCGTGTGGGAACACTGAGCACCTAGGAGGTTGTGATAGGAATCACATCTTACTAGGTGCCTGATTTACGAATCCTGTATTGAAATGTGGAAATGTAGATATCTTCTGTGAGTGAAAATGGTAAGAGCTGCCCTCTTGCACTGAGGTGTTTAATGATGTCACCAACAAAAGTTGAACCACATCTGTTGGATCCAGATTATTACAAACTTCATTCTTACATGTCTGATCTTTTGACAATTCTGGTCTGGAAATTTATTCTTTGAATCTGTTTGGGTTTTAGTTGTTTGTTTTAGGGCTTTTCTTTGTTGGTTTTTTGGGGTTTTTTTTTGTTTGTTTTTGTTGTTGTTGTTGTTGTTTTGGGGTTTTTTTTTTGTTTTGTTTTGTTTTGTTTTTGACGTAAAATCACTTGGTGAAACCAGCCTTGTTATCTGCCACAAGCTGCATTTTTTTGTACGCACTGCAGGCGTGTGTGATCACCTTTGTGAATGATGATGTCCTTAGTTTTCCATGGGCCGGCAAAGGTTTAGGATGCCGTGTGGAGCAGAGATGTCCCCAACCCCTCCTTCAGCCGCGCGATCACCTGTCACCCAAATCCCACACAGGTCCTGCTGCCTTTCCCGTCCCGTTCCTGTCCTCAGTTCCGTGCCCACCCTGTTCCCCCCATTTGCCTTGCCGCCTTTCCCACTGCAAGCTCTGCTACTCCCAGCCGCGAGCCCTTCCTGCCTCGGGAGGCTCTCCAGACTCTCCCAGGGCTTCTCCCGGCGCGGGCAGCGGGCGGGGCCGCTGCCATGGGAGGATGCCTGGCTGGCTGGCTGGATGCCTGGCTGGATGCCTGGCTGGGCGGGCCCGGGGGCCGCTCCAGGTGCCGGGGCCGCGGCGTTGCCGGGCGACGGGCGGCCGCTGTCGCTCCCTCCCCGCTGCTCTCCCGTTCTCCCCGCGGCCCCGGCACGGCCGGCAGGTAGGAACCGGCCCGTGGGGGGAGAGGAGGGAGCCCGGAGGTGTCTGTGTGCGTGTGTGGGGTGGGCGTGGGGCTGGGCTCCTCTCCTCTCCCAGGGCTTGTGCACCGCGGTTAAGCGGCGTTGGGAAAAGGCCGTTGTGGGGGCCGCGGTGTCGGGCTGGGACACGCAGGCTGGAGTGGGACACACTGCCCGGGCTGGGACACGCAGGCTGGAGTGGGACACACTGCCCGGGCTGGGACACGCAGGCTGGAGTGGGACACACTGCCTGGTGTGGGACACCTCCAATGCTTCCCAGAGTTTGAAAACCCCACCAAAGCATGTGCGTCACTGTAGCAATCCAGCCTATGTAGGTGTGGAAAGCGCCTGAGGTCTGAGGCTGAAAGTCTCTGTTTATGTTCTGGTAGATGTAACAGCGTGTTTAAGTTGCATGTTTTGGTGGAGCCCTGAGGAGAGTGAAGTCAATGGATAAACAATCCCGGGCAGGTGTAATTTGTAGAAGTATCCCCAGGTGTTTCACACTGAGAGAACCTGCTCCTCCATGGTGCCTCCTCGGCTTCTCTTGAAGGGCTGAAGGGACTTGCCAGTGCCAAACATAAAGGTTTAAGGTTCCTTCAGCTTCTTGCAGAAAGGGCTCAGGTGTGGTCCCTGCCCTGCTCATGACCCCTCTGTGTCATGGAAAATGGTTTCTGTCAGCAAGAAACTCTCTTTACCCCCTCACAGTTTTTAGCAGTCAGTAATTAGTTAACTGGACACCTTCAGCTCTGCCTTTGTCTTGTCTGTGAGGCCTGTGCTCTCTGGCTCTGCACCTGTCTTCTATAGCTATTGATTCCTGATAGAAATATTCCTTCTCACCTATTATTTTCCATTTTGACTGCTTTTACATGGCAGTGTTTTCTGACAACTGATACAGTGAAAGTATGCTAAATATTGACATTAACCTCTTATCCCATGCTACCCCAATGGCGATGTTTTCTCTAACACAGAGTCAACTTACTCCTACCAGAAAATCAGTGTTCCTTTTGTTCAGTAAAAAACTTCTTTTTCCCCAACTATGTAGATCCTTCTCTATCAAGTCCTTCACCTTCTCATGGTCTCTTTGGGAACTCTAAGGAGTTACACTTTCATTAAGCTCTTCTAGGCTCTACTGCTTTGTGTCCTGTTCCACTTTTAAGCTCTATTAGCGTGGACTTCTGCTGCTACAGTGAATAAAGTACTTCTCTTTATTAATTGCTAAGTACTCAGAATCTCTTGGGTTTGTTTTGTTGTTTTGTTTTTTGTTCTCTTGAAGATTGTGTTCTTACTGTTGTTTTAGCAGGACATGGTACAATTAAATAACACTATGAGCACCTGTCAGTCAAGATAAATGAAGATAAACAGCTGTGACTACTAAATTAAAATCTCTGTAGGAGAGGAATGGGAAATGATGCAGAACAGCAGTGGCATTGGAAGAAAAGGTAAAGTAATTTAAAATGTACAAATTACTGAAAATATTTTAGAACCTTTTAAAATTACTCTCCCATTTAATGGTATTACCTTTCTTCATGCTATTTTGTCTGGTTTCAGCTTGCCTAAAATAATGGATTAAATGTACAGTGTTCAGGCATGTCAGATCTCAGAGCTGCTGGCATTAACAGGTTTTGTTGTGGAGGTTGTGGTGATTTTTTTTCTGGACTTTGTGCTCTCTCTCTTGGCTTTAACACTGAGAATGACTGTGCTCCTGTAGGTCTGACCTCTCCAGGGATTGATAGATGGGTACATCTACCTGAGGAAAGCTCATTTTGTTAGTTGTACACTGCTGTCAGTAAAAGAACAGGCTCTGCCCACGGCCTGGGATGCCATCAGCCTGTTCTCCCACAATTCAAGGGACATGATCCCATATAAAGCAGGATGCAGATTCCGTGTGAAACCAGATGTGAGTTTAGCATTGGACTGGAATTATATTGTTGGTGATGATGCAGGTGCTTTTCTGACTGAAGTTCTTTAGGGGACACCATTAAAGAAATAATTTATCCTCAATGTTTGAAGTAGTATAAAAGTGCTGCAAAATAGTAACATTATGTAACATATAATAAATTTGTGATTGCTACATTTGTCTCTAATGGGAATGGATTAATATTTATTTGTGAGGAACTATGAAGAGGTTATTTTTTAAAATAGGAAAATTAATGACCTTTTCACAGAAATTAATTATTTAGAGATATCTGCATAATTTTAGTTTGCTATTCTAGTGGTTAGTGTTTTTATACTTTCTATGGAGTCACATGTGGGCTTGAAAAAAAATTGGAAGCAAAACCTATTTTATATCAGTAGGGCCACAAGTACTTGTTATAATAAAAATCAGAAGACCAGATTTGCCATGGCAGATGCAATAAATACTAACGTGTCTGTATTAAAGGGAAAAGATTTTGAACTCTGGCTAGTTCACAGAAACATTATCTCATATTTAAAAAAAAAAAAATTAGAGAGCACACCTTTCTTTGATGACAGCTTCTCACATCTGGAAGCAATATTCAAAGTATAGCAAGCTGGCTGTTTATCTTGCATGTTTTACGTCTTTAGTTTTAAACTTTTTTTGGAATGGAGTTCTAAAACTACCTCGGTTTTCATTTTTTAATGTTCCTATGTGACAATTTGGCATGTTTTTGCTTTTTTTTTAATGGAGTACCCACCCAAGTTTGAAGCGGGGGAAAGAAACATATTTAGAATGAAGGGGCTTAAGTAAACTATTGATACTTGGGAAAGGGCATTTAGCTATTGTGTTTGTTATCTGAAAATATAATCTTACAGCTGGTCAAACAGACAAACAGTGTTAAAACTTCTGAGAATGAGGGTTGAAAACAGTGGAGGTTCATGTACTGTCTCTACGGCCATATCTTGAATTTGATGTGCAAAGCTGATCATCCTGGAGGGTAAATGGCAGAACTGAAACTCCTTCCATGAAGTGCTTTGGAGAGAAGGGGAAATGAAATGAGGTGATGCAAAAGAAAGCTATAATTTAATGAATGGCATGGACAGTTGGATGTATCCTCCATAGTTCTAACTGCTCTTGACCTAATTTCTAATTTTGCCTCCAAGCAACCTATGCCTGTCTTCCACAATTTAAATAAATACAATGCAAAAATATACTTTCTCCGTTTTTAAAACTGCTTCCTGATGAAATTTCTGTGTCTTCTTTAGTCATTGGATGGCTATTTGTCATGTTCTGAGACATGACACACAATTGTTTCCCGTACACCTCCCCAGCTGTTGAACACTACTCACTTTTTGGACTGGGAAGATACTGATTGCCAGAAATTACAGCAGTATGCAGGGGAAAGGACCACTTTGGATTGTCTCTGCTTCTGATAGTGGTTTTAAAGGATCTGTTTCTGACTACAGTAGTTGCCTTGGCCCAGCAGGACAGTTATAATGCCACTTCATCAGTAGCCCAAACTGATTTCTCAAGGTTCCTTTCCTCTATGAGTCTTCTGCCCTTGCTAAAATTTTGGCAATGTCTTTTACTAAATAAGCTCCTGTGGCACCTCCCACTAGTGTTAACACTAGTGTAGTGTTTTTCTACAAGTTAATCTAGAATCTATCTCTTTATACAATCTGTCCCATGTGAGCAACACATTGGAAATCAGAAACTTCCCAGCCACTCCTCAATCAGCTTTGCAGGCCAGGAAGGAATGTCTTGCTTTAAATAGCTTGATTACCAAACAAAATGGACTGAAAATTGTTTGAGGACAACCAGAGTATGTTGAAACTCAGAAATGCCATATATGATGCATTTTCATCCTGCACATAAGTTTATGTTTCAAAAGGCTCATGAAAGCAATGCAATAGTAGCTGGGGGGAAAAAAAAGGTCTGTTTTCTCAGCTGGAATCTGGAAGTTCTTATAAATGGTGGATACTTAAAGCTGCCATGAAGACCAAAACCATAGAGTTTTTCTTCCAAGCTGCAGCTTTGGACTGTCACTCCGTTCTGAGTCCATGGGTTAGAATATATTTTTTCATCTTGAACAGGTACTGATTCTGCAAAACCTTGCTTTGCTTATGTCCTTTTTTAGTACGTCTAACAGCATGCCTAGCATCTGAACTTTTAAGTAATTGCTGAATTATGCCTTTTAAATGCAAGGAAGGTAAGTACATCTTCCAGTGACGTGTACATTTAAGGCAGGATCTGTGTGTGTGACAAGCACAGATATGTTGATTGCTGTGTACCTTGTCATTAGCTATCCATAACAGGACCTCTTCATAAGGACAAGAGGATTTTAACTAGACCAGCCTAATTTCTCCCTTATTTAACATCTGGACACTGTTGGATAAAAGCTTATGGCCATGAAGGGTCAAATTTGGTTTCCTGATCCCTGGCTACCTTGATAAAATGGTGAGGGACTTACTGTTATCTAGTCCACTGAAACAATTTAAGTGCATTTGGAAACCTTCTGAGTGAAGGTGTTGGTACCTTGGAGCTCTGTTTTTCCATAACCCTTCTGTTCACCAGCTATCCCCACATCCTGCTCTCTGCTTTGCTTTTCTAGGGCTCATTGTGGGGACAGATAGCAGAAGAGAGTCTAGAGACATTTTCTTACATTAGGAAGTTCACCTATATATGAAGAAAACCCTCAATCTGTAGCATCTTGCAGTATCTAAGGGTTTAGATAATCCATATTATCCACTGTCTGGAGACTGGCAGTACAGAGAGAATCAATGAACATTTGTAGCCAGCCAGAAGTTACCACTGACCACCTTCCACCACAGGACTCTAAAAACTAAAACCAATTGATTGGACTTCAGTTTATATATTTTTTTAATGTAATAGAACATATAATAGAGAGTGATCTGCTTTTATATCCTGCTATGAGGACATTTTGTTGAGGAATACACTTAGAGCAGGTAGCTGGGTGTGCAGCTGCAGTGGGAGCTGACGGTTTGTGCCCTGGGTGGGGGACACAGTGCTTTGCACAGCAGAGGACACGGGGACCTGTGGCAGTGGCCAGGTGACCGGACACCGGGACACAGCAGGAGCCGAGGGCTCAGCAGGAAGACCCCAGACTATCACAGGCTTGGAGGATACAAAACCTGGGGGTTCCTTTGTTGGGGGTCCCTCCCCAGATGCAGCAGCTCGAGCTGTTTCTGTGAAATTGCTTTAGGGTTCCAGACATCTGGGACTCTGCCATGGGAAACCCTGGGCTGAGCCAAACCTTGTCTGACTGTGTGAGTGTGGGGTGTGCAGGGACCAAGAGGGGCACCCCTGGGGTCACTGGAGCCACCCACTGTGAAGGGACTTTGGTCCCAGTAGTGAAAGTGTGGGGTAGTGGGAATGTGAATGCCAGAGTGGCTCCTGTATGGTCATACAGGGAAGTTTCCTTAAAAATTTGGCAAGCTAGCTCCAGAATTGTGTAATATGGGGGCACTGCCAGCTCATATGATAAAACATTTCTCATCACCCTGCTCAGCAGGATCTCAGGGGAAGAGTATTATCTATGCAATTGTAATGATGAAATTATTTTTTTTAATATATCTACATGGAATCTGTAGATATATAAAGGAGAAATTTGTGACACTTAAAGGCATTGCCTTTTTATTGTTACTTACTTTTTGAAGAATATTAGGCATCTTTTATCTCAGCTGTGTCTGGGTTGTAGCGTGCATTTTCTTCTCTGGGATCACTGCTGCTTTGAGTGACAGCAGAGGATGATCTCAGCTCCATGCATGGGAGTGTTACAATGTCCACAAAGCTCCCAAGAGGCTTCCCTGAGGAGTCTGTGGGACATAAATCCCAAGGCTTACCTGCCATGGTTGTGGTAATTGTAGAGCAGGATTTTTATTTAATAGCAAAGAAGTGTCAGAACACTCTTATAGCTTTTAAACCCATAAATAAGGAAGGTAAACAAATGAGATAAATCAGTACACTTGCTTTATATGCACATTTGGATGCTTGAACCAAGGCCTCAAATTGACTGAACAGTTACACAAAAATATCATTGTAAGCATTTGAGTCATTCAGTGTCAATAAAGTCAGTGGATTTTTAATTATATTAAATGGGATATTGTTATCTTAATATTTCAGCTTTCCCTTAAATGCTTTTTTTTCTTTAGTGGAGCACAGAAGGGGAATATTTATGAATGCTCTTTGTAGTGTTTGCATGATCCCTTAATATTAAAGTAGCATTACTGAAGTAGTTGTTACCTTGTTCTCCTTAAAAAACCAGAAGATTGAAATCAGATTGTTTAGTCATTCACAAAGGAAAAAAAAAAGTCATATTAATAACAGGACAGATGTCTTATTTTTCAGCTTTTTAGAAGCTGCACCTGCTAAAATAGACTGATGTGTTGCAGGATGCTTTATATTTCATGAATGTTGCAGGAACTGTTTTTGCCATTATGGGTGGATTATTGTAACAGTAGTTTCCTGATGACATCATAGTAAATTCCAGCTGCCTAAACAGTTATTTTCCAGAAGAGGTTATCTGCAGTGCACTTGTGCAAAATTACACTTAGAAAGGGAACTCATAATTCTCTTGGGACTTGTAAACCAAACCTTTTGTCAAATCCATAGTAAATACAGAATTCTTTGTTTTCATTCTGTGTCAGTGGTAACAGTATGGGCACTACTGTAATTTGTGGTTCTGAATTAAACAGACAAAAATTATATTATGCAAGTCAAGAGAAATGGAAGTCTGCAGTACAAGCTTCCTGTCATGAAGGGATAGATAGCACAATGGTTCTCAAATGACTTTTTTTCCTAGAGAATGTTTTGGCTGGTGACCAAAAATATAGATAAGGGCCCAGAGACTGCAGTGCCCCCACTGAAATGGCACACTTTGTGTCCAGTGAAGGCATGAGTAGCCACAGAGCAGGAGAGAATGCTGGCCTGAGGCAGAAGAGATTCCTTTTTGTATGGGTTGTTAATGTATAGAGGTATATGCCTTTCCTGGAGTGATTTTTTGATTAATTACTGCTGTTTGTGGGGGGTTGTTTTGTTTTTAAATGGTAACATAATTGCTTGGACAAGCTGTTTAGGTAATGTCATGAAGGCTGCATTAGAAATTATCATGCCTAGTCACACAGTTCAGAGGTTCTTTCCCAGTCTTAAGAAGCTGTAATTAATATTGAGTCAAACATTTCTGGCAATTGCTGAATTTGAAATGTGTATTAATATATATTTAATGAAGAATATGCCATCCTATCACTGACTCTTCGATATATCTTGTAGCAGGAAAATAAAATCTTGGAATCTTACCAGACTGTCAGACCCTAAGAACATCAAATAACTATTCTCTGCCAATTTCTTCCTAGCAAATTACAGTATTCTGAGGGGATTTTAAATAACATGTTGTTCCAAGGATCATTTAATTTTAATAATGGTTTTTATTACTGGTATTTATATATGTTGAAAGTGTCCTGCAGTTTTTAATGAACTGTCACAACATGTCTGTGAATTGAATAACTTACCATGATTGCACACACTCACTTGGGTAAGGAGAGTGGCAGCATTGAGGAGGTTAGCAGATTAACTCTTTGTAGAATTCAAAATCTTCCATCTTACTGCTCTGGTCATTGCTTTCTCCTGCACTCAATGACTGTTTCCTTCTAGTTATCCACACAAGTAAGAGCCTGCCAAGTTAAGACTTTTGATGCAAATCTGTAAAAACTAATTTTTTGGTTTCTTTCCATCTTTTATTCTTCTCAGTGTTCACGTGCAGTACAAAATCCCATTATTTTCCAGCCATTTTCTCTTCCCCTGACACATTCATGTGCTTATCAATACTGCTGTGCTGTCCCACTGGATTCACTGCAGGTTTGTGCTAGGTGCAGTTAGCTTCCGTCCTTCGTGTCCCACGAAGCACTGTGGGAATGGTTCTGTTCAGCACGTGGATCCAACGTGCATCCACTGAAACCACCTTGTTCGTGAAGGAAATCTTCAGGTTCGGCTTTTCAGACCTCTTTAGTGACACACAAGTCTTTGCAGTCCCTGTAAACTGTCCCACTGAGGCTAACACTAGTTTGGGTCAGTGTTGGCTTGTCCTGTGCATTTGGCAGAGCTGTGGGTTCATCAGATGGACCTGATAAAAATGAGCAATGTGACTCCTGTGTCTCTGGGAGGACAAAGGTTGTGCCAGGCCCCCTTCTTGCTCCTACACCGTGCTGGATATTTCAGAGGTTCATGGATTTTATTAAATATTGGCGCCTCACCACTAGGATTTCTGCACTCTTAATTTTTCTACAATCTCATTTTGGACATGTTAACCTCACCACTAGGATTTCTGCACTCTTAATTTTTCTACAATCTCATTTTGAACATGTTCTTTTGATCCATGTTCAGAAGGTGATTCTTTAGTCTCTGGAGAAAGCTTTGAAGTGATAGAAACATGTAAAAAAATTTTTTTTGCTTGCTAACGATAATTCAACTTGATCCCAAACAATTTGTAATGAAAATGCTTTTCTCCTCACTAATCCAATGTTACAATAATTACAAGAGCAGATCAATAGCAGGAAATATAAAACAAAGTATTACTTCAGATATTAAGCCACAAATTGATCTCCTTCTTGTCATCCTAAAGTAAATGCTGTATCAACATGTTTCAAAGATTTGAGGATGTTCTGAAATGTGATGGTGATGGCCCAACAGAGTGAGAACAGTAATTTGTTTTACATGAATGTGTTAACTCTTTTCAGCCTGCATCTACAAAATCCTGCTGTGTCTCATTTTACATCACACATTACATCAGTGTTCTCTGACTACTGCTCCACTTGGCTCTGATAATGTGCAAGATTATCTCTGGATTATAACAATCCTCATTTGAATTAGAAAGAACCACCAGTACTTGCACACAATCCAACACAAGTCTTGTGCAATTGGCAAAGGATTTCAGAATTTATGTGACAAGAATATTGTACTCCAAATCAGTTATTGACCAAAATAATTCCTTCTTAGGAAAATAATGACAACATCAGAAGGTCTTCATATCACAGAAGATTCTTTCATTTTCTTGGACAACTAATGACTCTTGCAAATCTATACTGACTAAATCATACTGACCTGTTCTAAAGAAAGTAGAGGGAAAAAGTCTGAGAAATTCTAGAATTCTTTAGAAAAAGAAACAGTAATAGGAATTTATGTATTGTAACTTCTCTTCTACAATGCATGACACAGTGTTTTTGAGGTCTCTTTTCCCTCCTAATCAGCTGAAGTATGAAAGTTGTTCTTACACTACTATGGGCATACTGAGGTTTTACAGAGCTACAAATATCAGCTGCAAATTTAGCTGCAAATATCACTACCCAATTCACTTTATGGTAGTTATTTTATAAGCCAGTAAGAAAGATTGAAAGGAGTTCTGTGACTCTGAAGAATTTGTTCCTGAGCATGTTTTTCAGGCATTGAATGTTGCTGTGGCTTAGGTGTAGCACATTTGAGCAGTCAGCTTCTCCTGTAGGAGTGCTTGCCAGGTAGGTGCAGTGACCTGGGAAAAGTAGGGTTTGCTTTCTCTGGGCTTCTCCTGCCCTGATGAGTGCACAGAGGGAGCACTTAGGAATCTGAGGGTTTGGTTCCTCCCTTCAGAGTGTAATAGATTCTGCAGGGTGACGTTTGGTGTATCATCAGTTTTTTGTTGGTGTTTTTGTTTGGGCGAGGGCTGCTGTGTTTTTCTGACAGTACAGAGTCCTCTGAATTTCTTGTGCAAGTGAAGAATTTTGACTGGACTTGAGCAGTCAAAAGAAGAAGTCTTTTTGATCCAAAGCTTTTTCACCTTGTACCCACTCAGTCCTCTCAAGCAGAGATGACCAGCTGAACAGACAGAGCTCCTATTTGTCCTAACAGAAGTTACTCCTCTGTGTAGCTGTTTATTAGTATGAGGAGGAAGGAAAGTGGTAATTCTCAGGTCTTGGCCACCACTGATGCTTTGTCAGCCAGTTATGATTAGCTTGATCATTTAATTACTTTTCCAGCACTAAGAATAAATATTGCTTCGCAGTGGAGAGCAGAACAAAACTGCAGGTGTCCCTTCAGCAGAGCAAGACAGCTTTTCTCTAGTCTAGTCTTTTGTTGTTACAGCAGCGTTTCCAGCTGTGATACTTCCTTGTTGCCAAGTAGTAGTAAATAGCTGTATAAATCACAGTAATGCTTGTACCATTTGGGTACAGCTGATTGCTTTTTTACTCTAACGGGTGTACATATGCTTACTCTCATATTTCAAAGTTAGTTGTTAATATTTGTGTGAAAGTGATATCTTTGGGAATTGAAGAATGACCACATTTGAAGTGTTTCATCTTCAAACTTTGTATTTAATTCTTCACTTGAAGCAAACACATTTTCTCCAAGAAACTGTCTTTAGAACTAGAAGTCAGTAGCCATTGCCTGCCTGACCTAGAGTCAGTAACAGTGCTGGGATGTTTGATTTAGGGCAGCAAACACAGACAAGTTTTGTCCATGCTACCTGCAGGCAGAGCTCAAAATGCTTGAGGTGGTGTTGTGCTTTGGTACTGGCACTTGCAGTCTGGAGTCCAGCAGAGTTTTGCTGGGTGTTGTTCATGTTTCTCAAGAGGAAATGGGTAGGCAGGGAACCTGTGTGGATGGGAAGCTCACTAACACTGGAGAAGGATGAGTGGAGTAGTGAGAAAGCTGGAAAGGTGTCCAGAGTTGTCTGTTCTTAGCTTTCTTTGTACAGAGCTGTAGGCATGCCCAGCTTCTTGTGTACCTGCAAACAATAGTTTGCTATGAAAGCTTACACTCAAAGCTGAATGAGGTGTGGGGACTCTTCACTCTTGAGGGTGAAGAAAAGGAAGAACAATGTTATATAATGCATAGCTTTGGGATCGTGCTGATTAAAGAAAACTGTATCTCCATGGGCATTTTCTGTCTTGCAATAGGAGTTAAAATAGGTTTTGCTGACAGGAAAATAATAAATACAGGTAGAAAAATCCAACTGCTTGTTATCCTTCTGTTCAAAGCATGTTGAGATGGACCTGAAGTGGAATCCTGACAGAGTGTCTCATCCAGGCTCATCTGAAGACCAGGAAACTGATGTGAATTGGCAAGGCAACCCAAATCCCAGTCTGCTGATTAAAGATGATGGAGAGCTGCTTATGGATGAACATCTTTCCCCCAGGAAACTGGTGAGTAGACATCCAACTTTTTAATGAAGTGGAAGAGGCAAACTGGCATATACAGAGCTGTATTAACCTTCCAACTGCTATTGTACTGATTGTGGATTGTTGCCTCTCTGACATTTAGATTTCTGTGTAAAGTAGATTCTGTCTTATGAAAGTATATCAGATGTTTGTCCTCCTTTCACCTTGTTTCCTATGAAAAGTATTCCCAGCATGATTGTGGCTGTGTTTATTGCCAGGGTTCTTGAAGCAGCGTGAAGAAAAGTACAGGTAGCATAATTATAGTCTATGCAAATCTCATTAATGCCATCTGGAGTACGTTGAATCGTAGCATTAGAAAAGGAATTTTCATTAATCTTGTTCTAGAGATTAGAAATGTAACTTTAAAAGCACAAGATTTTTTTCCTGTGAGTTAGTGAAATCCTCTGTCCTGCAAAGAAGCCAATTAAAATATTCTGCAAATGACAGAAGTACTTTCTGTACATGTCGAAGTGGGAGGAATTTCAAAGCATATTTGAAAGTCATGTTCCTTTTAGACTGGGGGAAGTCATTTTGCTATGCAGCCTGTTGAAAGAGAGTCACATGCTGAAATCTTCATGAAGGAATTCACTTTGTGAAATATTTGTGAAAGAATACTTGGTTGCATGCTGTATTGTACTTGCTCAGGACTAATTAAGGGTGAAATCCTGTGGGATGTGTACGAGCTGACCAAACAACATCACTTTTCCACACTAAAGGAAGGGAGAGTTGAGAGCAGAACTTGAAGAGAGAGTCTTTCTGTGTTCCAGACCTAACAGAAGAACCTCTCTTCTGCTGGGGAGCCTTTGTGAAAGACAGATGGGGCTGCCAAGGCCGTGGTTCAGGTGCTCCCAGCAGCCAGGCTGGTGACTGCAAGCATCCGTAATCCCCTGTGTATGCACTGCACCACTGAGAGACACGAGCTTCCACAGGAGCATGTTCCAGCTGTGGGTTTGCACCACTCCCTAGCCACTCCCCAGCCACATTCCAGACACCATTTTGACCATGTGCTGTAGATTAGACAGAACTATTGTTCACTAATTAAACAAGTCTTTTAGTGTTTATAAAATGGCTGAAGGTGCAAAACCCCCTTTCTGCAGAGTGGATATTTTAAGCATTCTGGAGAAAATTTACTGCATGGTTGTATGGTCTGTGCCATTCACTTTCCTTGGGCTCTTGAGACCCTCTGACCACTTCTTGGTCTTTTTTTAAAACCTGGCATAGAATTGGCCCAGTCTAATGTGTTTGTGGCCTACAACAGCCTGTATAAATCTGATGGGAGCCTCTCAGATTAGCCTGTATTGTTAGGGCATGAACCAAAGCACACTAGAGTAACCAAAACAGCTGCCCTCTGATCCAATCAACTCTGAATGAAACCCTTATGAAGTTCTTTCATTGGCATCAAGTTCTCTTTCTGAACCTCTGCTGCTTTTAGTTCACAGCAAACTATAAGCAGAAAAGTGTATGTAAGGCAGTGCTACTTACATCCCATGAAGTTGCTGTTTATTACTCTGAAACTTTTAAAAAAATGCAGATAAGAGGTTAAATAATGGAGTTTTGCATTTTTTTGTGATTGTGGGTTTTAACATTTGTAGGGAATCTCATTTCAAAGATTCTTTTAAATGAAGTACACTGTCCTGCTAATTTTTCTGGACAGTCATTTCCTGTCCTGGAACCCAGCATTTGTGTTGGCATAGCTGGGATACTTCCTGCTCAGAGGAAAAACTACATGACATTGTCAAGGAAACATTTACAGTGTTTATAGCTTGTTTTAATAACATACCCCATCTATCTATTCTCTGACCTTTGTGTTGATCAAATGGAAACCACTGATGCCATAAATTTACTTCCCCTGGATTTGCAAATGTTCAGAATGTTCAAACATTTAATACAAAACAAGTTTTCAGATGCATAATTCTTTAAGGACCCACATGCCATTGACAGTCAAATGGTTTGAAAGGTTGTCTTGCTTCAATCAATAAAATTGCTTGAAATTTTGATTATTATGATTTTGTATCTTTTTGATTGTTTTATTGATGTGTATATTTTAGGAGTTTTTGATTATATCTGTTGAAGTGCTCTGAGGAAGAAACTAATAGACTTTTAAAATACAGGTCATTAGAGTAAAATTATTTTACATTCAAATAAGGGCATGGGCCACACTTCTGAAGTGTTGTGTAGGCAAATATTTGGACACCTTATGGATGTTCCTGAGGAAGGTTTTTTTCCTGAGGCACATACTCAGCTTTACTCCTTGTCCTCACAATGGTCTGTCTTGCACCAGTTTGGTTTGAGTTTGGGGAAGCTGCAAAGTCTAATTGTGCAGACTCTGTGTAGATTTGGCACCTTGAACTGCAGCCTGATTTCTGCCTGCACATTTGAGTCATTTTGCCCTTTTTCCAGAGGTATGGCTGTCTATTTTGTAGTGAAACCATTAGCAGTCTGAATTAAGAACTCTCTAAAACTTGTGATGCTTGTGTTCCTTCACTTTTTATCCACTTGCTGCATTGTTTTCCTCCAAAGAGAGGAAAGTTTGGCTTAGACTGATTTTTTTTCCCTTTCTTTTTTTGCCTTCTTGGACCATGTAAAAGAAAACACAACTTCTACAAAACCATTGGACCATTACACATTTTCTTCCTCTCCATTGTGCATCCCCTCATTTAGACTTTATGCTCATTCACCACAGAGTTTGTAGTCTTATGTAGTCTTGTTTCAGCATAATGTTCACTTCAAATCCTGTATGATTCCATATTTCTATTATCTTAACCACATCTTCTAATTTCTTCTTGCTGCCAGCTCTCTTGCTGCACTGTTGTGTAACATCTTTTTATATTTGAATGTCCTTCATCCAAGATACAGGGTAAAAGCTTTTGATGCAAGGCTTGGTATCATTAGATGTCATTTTTATTCTTTCTGCTAGTATCAATATCAATTTTCTGGTGAACTCTTTAATCTTCCACGATATGAATAGGCATTCTTGCTTTTGCATTTGTACCTGTCCTATTAATATTTTCAGCTCTATATTTTCCTAGTTATTTTCCTATTATTTCCTGCTCTGCCCATCCTTATGCATGGTTGTCAGATATTGTAGAATACCAGGGTGAGCAAATTCTCACTTTGTTCTGAAAACTGGCTAACAATGGGCAATTAATTTTTAATGCTGTTAGGGCTGTGACACTGATTTTTCATTAAATGTGGAGAAACTGAAATTAAGGGCGCCACCTGTCTTTAATCACATCTTTATTTTGTTCTATCAACCTCCATCCTCTCCGTGCTGTTTGCAAAGGGTCTTTTCCTGACTTCCACTAAAAGCATTCCACTTCTCAGAAGAAACTCATTTTACAAGGTCAAATGATCTTCCAGACATTGTCACATTATAAAACCCAATCACGTTCATGTGTGATCTTTAGAGAAGAAAGGAAGTATTCTCTAATTTTGCTTTTTATTGATCCTGCTCCAACTAATCATGTTTTCCAAACTTAGGAACACGTGTTCGGATGTGGTGTTTAGTTTTGTTGCTCAGGACATTAGGGTGTATTTCATGTGGTATGCACTCATCCTCAAGGGAAAAAGAAAATGCTGGAGGGTCCTGGAACAACAGATTGGATTCTTGCTGAAGTGGCTCAATTGTTTCCTTTTTTCTTTTGCAGAAAGTTTTCCTCACAGCTGTAAGTTAAATTGATTTGAGGAAAATAACTGGACATCAAGAATGTGCAGAATCTTGATAAATTAGGTAGAGTAAGGGAATGGAAGGAACTGAATTGGACTGAATTTGGATCTGTTGAATCCTTCATTATGGATGAATCTCTTCATCTGAGCTGAGAGAAGAATGTATTTATATGTATATGCTGAAAGTAGTGAAATACCGCTAAATATTTTAGTTATGGGCATCTGCAGCATTTATCCCTTTTGAAAGCAAGTTTGCATGTGGGGCCACAGAGAAGTTCTGTTCCCTTTTATTGCATCACTTAAGGCCTATTAATTTGTCAATATTTTTCTTCTTGGAAGAAATATTTTGTCATACTTTTAGCAACTATTTTTTTTTTTTTTTTCTGTGGAGGAAGGATTATACTTTGACCAAAAAAAAAGCAATAAACACATGAATGGACATGAATTTAGAATTTGCATACAGGTGTAGTATTCAAAGAGAACAAGCTCACCACTCTGGAATTCCTGTCTTAGCCAAACTAACCAGGATCAGCAAAATAAATGCACAGCTGGAAATATTTCTCTGACAGCTGCATGCAACTCGTTCTTCAGCAACATGCCTACTTTTCTTAGAGTATGTGAAAAATCTAGAGAAGAAAGAAGACATCAGTTGTGTGTGCCAGTTTTGACTGAGCAGATATTATTTGTCAATTAAGGAATTTACAGATAGCTGCAAGTGGGATTTGAACTGGATTTCCCAGCATCCCCAGGTGACTGCTCCACCAGTTGGGAAGCTCTGCAAGCTCAGAAGTATTTCTCACTTGCAATTTTCTACAGAATATTTACTGGCTTTTCTTGTCAGTCAGAAAAACAGCTTTCCAAGCCTGTGCACAGGCCCCATTTGGCCAGACATTTTGCGGGGTGGGAATGGCTTGTGAAACATCATGGACTTGCTTCTTAAAATACTGGCTAAATTAGATAACCTACCAATAGATTTTTCATGAAAAATAGTTTTACTCCTATTTTGAAGAAGGTGAAAAAATGTGAAGTGAGCTTTATTTGTCTTTGTTTTACTTACCCTGTATTCCAAGTATATTCAAGTATTTGTGCAGTGCTTTACCATGGAAATGTGTCCTTTCAAATAAACAAATTTACAGTGGAGTGTCAAATTGCTGCTCAGGATCAACCTTTCAGGCCACCTTCTTGAACATGATGTGCCAGAAAGATTTTGATGTTTGATTTTTCAAAAAACATCTCTGTTTAACTGATACCTACCTCGCAGGGCTGCAGATGGGTGGCAAGCACAGTCTTCTCCGAACACCAGCACTCAGCTTAGAATTATATTGTTTTTTTTCAAGGTATATTTTTGATCTGAAATAACTGTGAATACATCTCACTCTTTGCCTAGAACAGATCCTTGATCCCTTTCTGTTTGCTCTACATGAAGGCTGAGCAGCTGGAAACAGCCAAAGAAACATCTAGATGTACAGCACCTTCATGTCTGTAAGCATTCCTGGGGCACAGGCAGAGACATTCTGTCTCTGGCTGTCAGAACAGCCCATTAAGCTATGACCAGGCAGTCATTGCCTGAAACCACAGTGGGACACCTCTGAATTAGGGCAGGAGCCTGTCCTAGACCTAGGATGGCCCTAGGAATGAAGAGAGACAGAGCATTGAGCATCACTTCGCTTCACATCAGACATCTCTCTGTCCAAGCTGATGACCCCTTCAGTGTGATGGGTCATGTTCTTTTCTCTTACAGCAAAATTCATCTAAATTATCCCTCCTCTAAAGTTTTAATGGAGGTTCCCATGCTTTGACATTAAACAGCAGCATAAATAGAAGACCCTGCTAAATAGGTTTAATCTTTGCTTAAATGTTTCCACGTCCTTCCCTGAACGTCCCTGATCCCTGGTGTCAGAATTTTAGCTGTGACATGAGAAGTATCACACTTGCAGGTACACCAGCATGCCAGGAGTGGTGTCTGGAGAGTAGCAATGTCCTAACAGTCTTCCACTGGAACCATTCCCCATGGATCCTCCTCTTGAACTGCTGCTCTGTCCTTTGCTTGCTGACTCACTTGCAGTCAGCATCTGGGGTCTCAGTGCTTTAGTGCCTTTAAATGAGCTCATATCCTCCACCCAAGAGCATTTCCCATTTCCTTCATGTACTACACTATCTTGTGCATCCCACAGCAAATTGGTTTCAAGCTGTCCCAGCATCTCCTCACCATCAGCAGATGGAAGGACAGTGATTGTCACAGAGACTCTTGGAAATGCAGAACAGGGAGGTGGGCACTGAGGATATATGGAGTTTGTCTCATCTGGTTAGCACATGCTTCAAGGCAGCTATCTATAGTTCAAAGAGCTGGTGCTGACAGCCAATAACCCTTTCCAGCACTGGAGTCACAGTTCTGCCTTTTGCAGTACAGAACACGGGTGCACTAAGCAGCTCCTCTCTCAGACAGTGGCAAAGGTACAAATAGTGGATCAGGAAGAGGAAAAGGAGGGCAAGGAGTGACACTGGTAATCCCTGGTATGAGAAAAAGGCCTAGACAAGGAGAGCATATAACTTCATGCGGGTTTTATACTTGGATTTTGAAAAAAAAAAAAAAAATATCAGATAGCAGAACTGTGAAGGGAGGCTGTCTGGAATACAGCAGGGGAAGGACAGCATGCAGGGAACTTGCAGACAGCAAAGGAGGAAAGGACAAAAAAAGGAGCAGAGAATCCTTGGGGTATCAGGACCTGTTGCTACTCAACTGACAAAGTGTGTGACCCTAAGCTTATTACTTGTTCTGAAACTTCTTCCTGTTCTGATATAGGCTCTTTAAACTATTTTGATGCCAAGCAGGGAGGTATTTTTCAGAAGCTTCTTCCTTTAATGACAGTGAGCTTGCATCCAAATCCAGCAATCTGAGTGCATGGTTTTATGCCAGGACATCAGCTAGCTCTCGTTTCACACATAAACTCGTGCTCTGTGACAGACAGTGTCATCTGCTGAAAAGGGTTACTGCAAAATGTGCCTTGCCATGAGGGATCTTGTGCTCACTTGGAGGGAGAAAGCTGTCTGTAGCTGTTAAGTTTGCTGCCTTTGCAAGAGCAAAACACATTTTGTGGTGGCTGCATGTGGGGATGGAGCCTTAGAACCTTTCTTATGTTCAGCCGGTTTAAAATCACAGTTAAAAATTTTTTTTAAATAAGATCAAAAAGTAATTTTAAACATAATGTTTTAAAAATAGTTCAAAAGCAGTTGAAGATATTGGATAATTCTGTTTCTTAGGAGTACAAATTAAGAGCTTATAAAGTGGGACAGCTTTTCAAGAAGGAATGCTCAGCGTTTTCTGGAAACCATGTCCTTTTGAATTGCCATCTCAGTTACACTCACGCTGGCTTTAGTCCTTTGTAAGAGGATGTGGAACATCAGCGGAAGTTGCAGTCACTTGTGCACAGTAAAAATGTTACCTAATGAGCAGGAATGTTGCAACCACCATTTTTTCCTTGCAAAATTAACTGGATATTCTTGTGGGTTTTTTTTTTCTTCCCAAAACTCATGAGCAGAGGTCATCCTACACATTCCCTTCTAATGAGTAAGTTCTCCCTTATTAAAAAAACCTAAAGAATGTTATAGCTTTTCAATAATGAGAAAATTTGTCTCCTGTGTGTGGTGGTTACTGAATGACTTTCTGCCTTCACCTTAAGTAATGGCCCAAAAGGTTGGTGACAATACTTTCAACCCCTGCTCTTGGTTGCATCATTGAGGAGGAAACTCTGATGCCAGGGTCAGACATTTCTTTGAAGTGGACGTGTTCAGACCCACATCCTAACTCTTTTGACACAGAAAGGTGAAAATTAGAAGTTTCACCACTATAGCATCAAAAATTTCAGGCAGTTAGCATGACAAATAAACCTTGCTTCTCATTTCTCAAGGATTGTTTCAGACTAACCCATGAGGAACAAAGGATATGATTCTTCTGGTGTGCTTTGTTGAATTCTTGCAACTAGGCTGATGCAAAGGAGGTGGTGGGATATGCACTGTGAATGAGGGAAACTGGGGAGAGAAGCTGGATCATAGCAGGATGAAATAGGGGATAAGAGCAGTGGTAATGTGAGGTTGATTCAGCTCCTTGTGGAGTTGCAGCCTGGCGTCTTAAGATTTCACAGCCTTGCTGTGGTTTTCACTGACAGTCCTCAAGCTTCCCTCTCTCCTCTGTGTATAGCTTCTGCTTGTTTTGTTCCTTCTGCTTACCTGTCCACTGCAAAATATACGTGTATGTATCAACACAGACTTCAGGATGTTAGGAAAGGTTAGGAAAGAGTCTGCATTCACACACACATCCTTGCTTAAATGCAATGGTTCATCCAATTACTACAATTTTGTAAAAATAATGAAGGACTTGGAAGGCCTCTATTTGCATTGCCTAGATACTTTCAAATAAATTAATAATTCTTGTAATTAGTGTAGTCTTCTGTCAGAAAGGTGAGTGGCTTGAGCTGAAAGCATGTTTCTTTTTATTTTTTTGGTTAAAGGGTGAACAGTGTGTTTTGTTAGTTTTACTACCAGCACCTGTTGAATTACAGGTGATGTTTAAAGTTAACACTTTCTGTCTGCTGAGGATTAGTGCAAGACTTGTGCAAATCTTAAAGCATGGGCATACTGTTTAAATGAAACTAGCTGGCATGTAGGTCTGTTGTTAGCTTGCAGCTTAAATCTAACCCTGAGCCTTGACTCTTTAAGCAATGTATAAGTTTTTGGAGACTAGAGTATTTTGGGGCTACAAGGAAGAAAGATCTTTGAATATTGCATTCATTTCAATGTGATTGCACATCTAGCCATGCTGACAAAACACTGTTTGAAATTCTTTCTACACCTTTTTGCTGCTGTGATATCTGGTTTATTGCATAAGAGTACACATATATTTGTGCTTATCTTTACAGAAAATTTTGGCAGGGGTAGATGATCTGCAGCAAGTGAAGGCCCTAGAGATGCGAGTAGACACCAGAGAGATCAGCTTGGGGAACTTTGGTAAGAAAACGCTTTATTTTCTGTTCATCATCTTGAGTTTTCCTTTATGGTGTCTTGACTGGGGATTCACTAAACAATGGCCAGTGAAAAGTACTGTCCTTCTCAAGAGCTCTTGAAACAGGATTTCCTCATACCTCACACTTTTTAATCTCTGTCTTCTTTGTGAGGCTCTGAATAGTACTGGAAACTCTGGCAATGAGTGACATGACTTCTGTCTAAAGCCAATTAGTTTGTACAGATTTTTCTTGTATGATGTGGTAGGCCCTAAATGAGCATTTACTCTTGTCTTTAGTGAAACAGGAGCCAAAGGTCAGCCTCTCTCCACTGTGAGATTTCCCTGTGACTGAGGAATTACCAGTGGTATCAGGTGGCTTTTGCTTCCAGCAGCTTGTCTTTGCACCCAGCCTCACTGAGCTGTGCTGGAAAATGAGCTGGAGGCAGGTCCTGCAGATACATCATTTTGATGAGCCCCAAGCAGCCCTAACACTTGTCATTCATTTTTATGTCATCATCACTGAACCAGGGAAGTGAGAAGTACCAAAGGAATTCCCTCTATATCAGAGTTAATACTGAGAATATAAAGCCTTACTTTTGTTTTCCAGCACCAGCAATCATTTTCTATCATGTGGATTCCTACCACACCCAAGTCTATCTTCTGCTACATTGAAGCTGAGTAACTAGTGCAGGGTAATATTTTCTGTGCTAAAAAGGAGCCCCATGCCCAAAACTGTGTACCAGTACTTTCAGACAACCAGTTAATTTTTCATATGCAAATGACTAATGTAAAGCTGATTAGCTTTAATGGGTCTTTTGATGTCTATTTGTCAAGAATTGTTGAGCAAGAACAGTGAAGGGGTCTTTTGTACATATAGCCCCTTTGTACTGGTTATTCTATTTATTTCATGAATAAGTCTCTTTCTCATAGGCACTTGATAATTTAAGGTAAGTTCCATCCATTTCTTTCAGAGATCATAATCTATTCAATCATGTTTCAACTAATCCAGTTGATAAGGAAATCTCATTATGCCATTTCTATAATGCCCAAAAGTGGTGCTCCCATTCCTATGCCATTTTCCATTAGCTGTGGCAGGCTAGCAAAATGTTTCATCTTCATCACTCTCTACTTCCCTTTCCTTTCCATTACTGGAATAAATCCCTTATCCTACCCGTGGTTAGACTTTTGCAACCTTTACAGAATACAAAATACAGAACACTATGTCCATGACGCAAATAATTTCCATCTTGTTTATCTCCCACTGTTCACACCAAGAGTTGGCCCTTGAGGGCCATAAAAACCAGCACCTGCAGGTCCCCACTGCTTTTGAGAATAACAGAACATCAAGACCATTCTGAATTTCCTTCTGTTCTTTTTAAGGTGCGTTTCTGAGTTTTCTTCCTGTGAAAATCTCTTTGCAAATGTCAGCAGGTGGCTAGGGCAGAAAGTTTACTTTAGTGTCTTTCAATTTTTTTCACATGGCAGATGATTTTTAGGCACATGGAGTAGGGCCTAAATGTTTAGGGGTTTTGCAGAGCAGTTTGCACCTCCACTGTGAATGCTGCAAGCAAGACTGCTGTTGAAGATGTTGGGCTCATTGCTTGCACCCTGCTGGCTGCCTGCCCCTGGAACTCTGCTGCTGACCTGGTCTGTGGGCACAGGGGTCTGGAGAAATAGCCTGAGGAAAACAGTAGGGTAAGAAGCAGACCAGCTAAAATCACAAGCATTCTAGAGTGACAGGATGTAAAGTTTTTCCCCTATTAGGACAGTCAAGCAACAGGAATATCCAGAGAGGTTTGGAGACTTCATCCTGGTAGGTTTTCAAGTGGGTGAAGACCTGAGCACCCTGATTCACAGACAACCTGGCTCTGAGCAGGATGCTGGGCTTGAGGCCTCCAACTGTTCCCTCCAGCCTGGACTGCTCTGTAATTTGGTATTTCTTTTGAATTTCAAACCTGGCTAATAAGCTTTCTTTTTACACATATGAAACCACTTCACCTTGTTCTCACTGTATTCCTTAGCTGTGGAAGGTGGGTAAGAGCACCTTCATCATCAGCAAATTTTTTGGATGATCAGTCCACACTCAGTAAACAATATTGTTTTAACTGGTTTTATGTGTAAAGATAAAATAGGCCAGGCAAGGTCTTAAATGGCCAGGTGAAAGTGTTAAAGACTGCACATAACTCTGAGTCACCTGGAACCTTGCAGCACTCAAATCCCAAATTTACACCACAGTTTTCACTTGAGAAACATTTCAAAGTTCACAGCCTGTGCTACAGACTGTAACACAAACACTCAGGGCCTAAAGATTTCCAGAGTGATTTAAAACTTGTTGCTTGATATTTTTCTTGAGACCATTCCACTTTGGGATGGGCTAAACTTTAAATCACCATCCTGTTAACCTTATCTAGTTTGTCAAGTCTGCCTCTACAAAATGGCACAACATGGTGGGGAGGACGAGTTACTTTTCTTAGGGACAAGGTGTGCACTAAAACATGAAAAGACTGATATTGAAATATTTTCATGTGATAGTCTTAAAATTAAGGCTTCATGCCAGAGCTTAAATCTGAATCTTTGCAGGGCTTGGGGTAATTGCTGAATTCTCTAGCTGTTTTCAGTGCACCTTGCTGAGTGACAGATGAAACCCTGAACGCCCTGGCAAGTCTTGTATCCAGCTTTGCATATGTTGGAGTTGATTTCTGTGCTTCTCAGCTGCATGCAGACCTCAGTTTATGTTCAGAGGGACTATTTCCTTTTCATTAGCTGATCCCTTCAGTTTTGATTGCTGACAGGTATGGAATTTCATTTATGACCAGCTCATAGAAATTCCTGTTGAAAATAACGGTGGGATAGAGTCGTTTAAGACACTACATAGTCCTCTTCTTTCTAAGTAATTTTAATAGCTCCAAATCAAGTTACCCACAGTGCTGTTCGCTGGTCCTTATTGAATTGTTGCCTGCTGGTGGCAGACTAAGTTGATTACGTGTCTGGAGATTGCCACTTCCCTTGCAGGCACTTTATCAAGGCAAAGCTCTGCCAAGGGTTCAGGAGTAGCTATGTGCTATTTCTCATGCAGGGTCATCATCTCTCTTTCCTCTTGTCCTGCTTGTTGGCAGTCTGGGTGCAGAGCTGGGACACCTGTGCTGGCAGCCAGCATGGCAGCAGCAGGCGCTTGCACGGCCAGGGAGCAGCACAGAGGCTGGAGGAGCGAGTCTGGCACAGTGTTCCTGCCCAGGATGGTCTTGGCTTAGCTGGTGCTGACAAACTCGCTGAGCAAGGCTTGGACAGGCCCTACAGCAGGGCTTGGGCAGGGTCTCCAGGAGTCACAAGTACGGACTGGGGCAGTGTGATTATGTGAAACCCTGCGCTGATGTGTTTTCTGTGAGATCCCCATCTCAGGGAGCTCAACTGCAGCTGCCTTGGGTGTGCCTGAAAGGGCTGTGGTCTCACCTGCAGTTGTACTGCCCAGTTCACCTCAGGAATGTGCAAAAAAATGTATGTGTAGAAATAGCATCAAAGTGATGTATCTTACTTGATCAAACGCAGCTCAAGTGAACTAAACAGACTCTTTAATTTGCATCTCAGGTTGCTCTTGCTGGAAGAGTACAGCCTGTTTTGATATGCCTGTTTTGTCTTGTAGGATCAACAAAGCACGATGGTTGCCTGGTGCCAATGCAAGCAGGTGTCAGTAGTTTCTTTTGTTTGTTTTTCACTAGTCCATATTCCAAAAGACACAAGTCAAGCCATGATGATTTTTTGTTAACAATAGAAAAACAAAGATATATGATGCTACTTAAAGAATACTTCATAATGTTAACAGCAAGTGTTAGAAGTATTGTAACTTGTAGAATATCATAAAACCAGCATTTGGGCCGCGTTCTCTTTGCTCCCACTCAGTTTTCTGAATGTCACCAGCTGTACCAAGGCACCTTGGAAAGACATTTACACTGCCACCCTGCCTGTGAAGTGCAGCACTTCAGGCTTTGTTGTTGAGTGCATGTGTCTATCACTTTTGTTCACCTCACTTGCACTTTGGTTTCTTTCTGCCCTTTCATTTAGTTTTGTTCCACTGGTAGAGTAGAATGGTTTAAGACTAGTACATTGTTGTTGGTTAGTAATTTCAGAGCCATGTAACAAAACCAGTCCTTAGTGAAAGGGAATCGTAGACAGATGAGATTACACTGCTCGTCATTCTGAATTGTCAGCCTTGCCCTGCAATCATCAGCATTTCTGTGGACCATTCTTGTTTTTAAAAATCAAAACTACACAAAGGAAGGCAGTTTCAGGATAAGGACTCTACCGCGTGTACTTCTAAAATTAATATTACAAATAAATACTATTGTATTTTAGAGTATTTTTGTATGTTAGTATCATGTGTCCTTGCTCTGAGGAAAGAAGCCATGAGGGTTAAAATTAAGAAAATTAGAAATACACTGTTACATTGGAATAAGTATCTTGTCACCTTCATTTTACAATTTTCTCTTCCTAATTTATACTTCTGGCCTCTAATCTATTTATAAGTATTTGGGACTCTAAAACCAGCAAAATCAATGGAACAATGAATTCTTAGCACCAAAGAACAATTACATATTGATATAAAACTTACAAGGAAGAACCTGCAGACTTGCAGGAATACATTGAAGAATATTGCTGGCAGAATTTTGCACCACCACACATTGTATACTTCTATTTCAAGCTCGTAAACCACACATTAAAGTGTAACACTGTACAACTTCCCAGGGGTAGATTGCACCAAAGTGCAAAAAAAATCTGAGATGGAGGATCAAGTTACAATAATGAACTAACCAGATGTGAAAATTGTATTATCAGCCTGTCACTTGGCCTCTTTGGATCCTTTAATGGTTGCTTCTTTCCTGAGCCAGCCCTAAATGCATTCAGTGAAAAGCTTTTTCTTGGGCAAGTCTCTCCATTTCTCTTGACTCCTCATTCAAATCTTCTGCTTAACACTAGTCCTTAAAACTCCTTTGCTTTGCAATGCTTTGCATCAGCCTTTGCTTGGTAACCCTTTTACATCTCTGACTGAATCCATGGCACTATAGCTCAGTTTTGAGCTGGGACTGGGGAGGCTACTGCATCCCTCTCATTTTTTCCTTTAACACTTCAGGGGAACACATTTAATCTCTCAGTCCTTGTCAGATCAGGATAGAAATTTTTTAGAGTCTAGTTTTTTGGGGTTTTTTTCAGGGGGGAATTTCTTAGGCCATGATTTATATCTGAGGGAGTCTTTGCTCAGTAATTAGTATGACTGCTGTGAGTAATTAACAGAGATCCTAATATTTCCTCTGCCAGGACTCCAAATTATCTTGTTGCCATATATGCCATATAAACATATAACTTGTTTGACATGAGAAAGCATACCCTGCAGAACGAGGACTGTGTGTTCTAATTTGTTCTTAATTTTTGTGGATTGTGGAAAATGCTTGAAAAACAAGGTTAAAAAATTGCACAGTGTGTTTTGAATTTTTTGTATTTTCAAAAGTGCTTTGCAAAGACATGAACTTAAATACTTGCAGTACAGCATGAAGATCAATATGTGCATTATGATCACTCCAAAATAACATGAGATGTGGATAATGCTTCTATTAAAACATGATTTATTAAAATGTTTTTGACATAAATGCTGTTGTTCTCTTCAGGGAATGAACAACATGACCTCCTTTGTTTGCTTTTGAGATCCCACTCCCCTTTCTTCTTTTTTTATCCTTTGCAAAGCACTCAACTGGTGTCCTTCTGGACATTGGTAAATCACCCTTGCCAGACAGTGATTACTCAGAGAACTCATAAAAATATTTGCTGAGAACACATTTTAATGTTTCAGCAATGATCCAATTTGTCTAAAGTTGGTATTACTTCTACATGGTTGCATGTTATGCTGGGAGATGCTCACCAACCTTGAGTAAACGCTGCTGGTGGGAATGGGTAAACATTTGCTACTGTCCATAAGAAATGGTGCTTATGTCTAAATTATTCTGTAGCTTGGAGGGATTTGGTGTGTGATTTTGGTTCAGAGATACCTTTAGAGTGAAAAAAGCAAAAAAAAGCACATTAGTTAAAGTAATAACAACAGAATACTGAGGGTTTTATAGGTATGGAACTTGTACAATTCAATGGTAACAATGGTAAATAATTGTATGCAGAAAATTAAAGGAAGAAAGCAATGCTTTGTAAAATGTAGCATTTGGGGGACCTGTGTACTATAAAAGATGATGATGTGACTATGGATCATTATGTGTTTGCTGTTTGATTCAAAGTTATATTTTGAAGAAGTGTTTCTTGGCTGTGTATCCAGTAAGTACATCACTACTTGCCATTAAGTAGGTCATGGAATGCTATACTCTAAAGTATCCCTTAGCTCTGCAGACTATCACTCAGTTAAAAGTCAATCAGGATGGGGAATCAGACCAAAGAAAACAGTCACACATCAAGCCAGTTTCTTGTCTATCCGGCAAGGTGCCATATCAGAATTTCCAATGAGGGGTTCAAAAATTGTAATTGGGTAGTCATGCAGACAATACATATATGTTTCAAAAATGCAAAGGATGAAATAGTTTTTGAGTTAAATAATCTCATTGATTTTCTTAGAAGTCCAGCACAGGCCTGCCAGAAACAGCTAAGAAATACTTGTAAAATTAGATGCTTCAACTTGTAATTATTGTAATTTTCCTTTACTCTAATCCCAGATCAGCAAAGTGATTCTTTATTCTGTTCTCACAGGTGTGCATCTGCCTAATCTGAGAGAACTGAAGTTGAACAATAGCTTGCTTGTATCTGTGAGGTAAGAAATGAATGATTCTATGAAATAAATATAAAGAATAACAGCTCTCAATTTTATTTAAGTGATAAAATCTTCATTTGCGCTGCTTTCATTCCTTCCATTTCTCCTTGCTGTGATAATAGATTAGGTTATGAATATATGCTCCACTACCACAGAAGTTTAAGGACGGGACCTGATCTGGAATAAATCAGTGTAGCTGAAATGGTGCCAATGAATTAGCCCTAGTTTGCCACCAGGGAAGTTCCTGCTATGCTGAAGTCCATGGAAATTTGTTGCACATTTGAAAGGAGCTAAAAGTTCCCCTCTTATCTGTGTCTAGGTGCTTGGATTTCAATGTTTCAGCCTTTGGGCTTTTACTGTGCACAGTAGCCTGTTCTGTACAGGTCAGACCAGTTCCTCAGCTGATGAAAATCACTTTGGCTTTACTGAAGTCAATGCAATCAGGTTTATGAGAGCTGCTGTGAAGCCTGCATCTCCCTGGCTGGCTGAGCTGCAGGAAAACATCACGTTTTCTCCCAGACAGCTGGGGGAAGGTGGTTGGTTGGAAAGGTAGAAGTGAAAACCATCACAATGAGGAGGCAGAGCTGTCTTCTCTCTCCTGTGCTGATATCTGTATGACCCTTGCTAATTAATGCAAAGTAGAAAAATACAGTTCATATCAGAAAAGGGCTGTGTAAAAGGCCCTGTTTTAAATAGCACTGCCCTCTGGCTTTGTATGGGTATCTACTAAACTCATGGGATAAAAAGTAGTGGGTTTGCCAATTCTTTTTAAGAGAACAGGTGCTGTCATAAGAAATGGCAATAAATTCTTCTTGGTCTCTCTAAAATATCTAATGAACTTCAGTTGCTACACTTTGATTTTATTTACCCTTGTTCTGGTGATGAGATGAAGTATCTGCAGTCTAAATTTTGGGTTTTTTTGTCTTCTAATCCATAACATGTAAAAGTTGTGATTCTACATTGCTGCAATTATTTTAATAGCAACCAACAGTTGTTATAAGCATGAAATTGCTCCATTATTGCAGTGGAGGAGTAAGTAGTGGGTGAAAAAATTTAAATTTCGACAATATTAAGAGGTATTCTATTAAAAAGAAAAAAATATAAAAAGTGGGTTTTGATTTGATCAAAATTCCATATTCTCTTAAAATGTGTCAACAGAAAACCTTTTGATCATCTCTGTTGGTACTGAATATAAGAATGCTGTTCAGGAAAACTAAACTGCTTGACTCATGGTTTTAGCAGGCTTTGCACCTCTGTATTCTGAGACTAATTTCTGTCATGAAAAGTTCTGGCAAACCATTTTCTCTGACCTGACACCCTTGTGGACCTTGATGCGGGGAATGCTTGGTCTCGAGATTTGATTTGATCTACTCTAATGTAAATATGTTTGGGCTTGGATATCAGGTCTAATACTGTGATGATTCCCTGGCACTCCAGCCCAGGAGAAGCTGCCTGCTGCTCCTTCTGTGTGGCAGTTAAATGCAGCTGTCAGGGAATAGGGAAAGGAGGAAGATTTTTTTGGCTCTCCCAGAGATGAACTCAGACTGTATGGTTACAGCAGTAGCTTTGCTTTATTAATTCCCATCTTTGACAATCTGTCATTGATGAACACAGATCATTTAAGGGCACATCCCACGCAAGCACAGCCTTGTACCTGAACTTCATTTTTCGATGTCTGCATCATGTCAATTTAATGCCCATTAGAGCAGCATTGCTGCCACAGCAGTGGTGATGCCTGCTATGCCTATTGTAACATAGCTGCTCCCATTCCAGAGGCTGCTGCCATTTATTCCAAAATTCAGAATCTTATTTCTGAATTAATCTTCTTGATATTTGAATTCTGTCCAAAAAGTGATTATTTTGTTTTATTCAACCAAACTCTTGCAAATGGGGCTATTGAGGATGACACAAAAAATTATTCTTCCTTCTTACTGAAAGTAATTCCCACAGATTTTGCCAGCCATAAGATCAGAATCATTGTGGTTGTAATTTGAAAATGAAATTTCAGCAGATAATAGGCAATGTCTTGTAAGATCCAACTGGAAGATTGGTTTTATTTACTGAAAAGAAGGCAGGAATAGAAAAGCAGAAAAAAAAATAGAGGGTGTTTTGTATATACTTGGGATGCTAAAAGCAGACATTATTTTAATTCTATTTTATGTTATAAAAGCATATTCTGGTGAATCATTATGAAGAAAAGGCTGTCAGTGTGCATGCATGAGTGGGTAATAAGATGGGAGACTTCGTGCTTTGTCACTTTATTTTTGTTTCATCATGTCTTGCGGAGTAGGATTACCTAATTATTTTGGAACTAAATGGAACTAAAACTTTTTTTTTTTTTCATTTTGAAAATGGAAGAATTGGTTTGGTAGGTGTCAAAATGAACGTTTATCATACTGACTTTAGTTACTGATTTTTTTTGAGGCATTTATTCTTATCAACCTCACATAGGAACTTAAGTTGTGAGGATGCTGAGGTGTGCATTGCCACGCACTCAATGGAAATCAAAGGAGTCATGTTCTGGCAGTGAGGAATGAAGGTGTTATTCTATTACCGTTTTCTATGGGAGTGCAAGGCTTGCTAGGTCAGCGAGATTGGATATTGGCTTCTCCTGGTAGTCCCTCAAGAAGTTGTGACTCCTTTGATGTGGTATGTGTTTGAGCTACCTTACTTGTAAATTCATGATCCATCCCCAATCCTCCTAAAGCTTGCATTACTTTTGAGTACTTGAAACTTTGAAAGGATACCATTATTAACTATTTAATTTAATCCAAAAGGAAAATATATCCAAGTTTATTTGCAGATAATTGATCTCAACAGTTGAAAGGAAATTTCTTTCTTGGCTGTTTCTGGGTTTTGGTTTTCTACTGGTCCTTTGCTAAAGGGAGCATCTCTGGAAAATCCAGGGTACTGTGAAATAAAATAGTTCATATTGTTGTTAATTTTCTACATCGCAATAGCTTCATTATGTCCTTGTTTGGTGACCTTCACACATTTGCTAGCAACTGAAAAATTCTAGATTTTTGAACTGATAACTGAGGATGAAAAGTCAAGCCTGTTCTGAAGAGTGCCTGCTAAAATATGCTGATTTTGGTTTTTTTTTTTGGGGGGGTGGGGGTTTGTTTGTTTGATTGGGGTTTTTTTTGCTTTTTATTTGGTTGGTTTTGGGTTTTTGTTTTGGTTCTGGTTTTTGTTTGTTGGGTTTGGGGTTTTTTTTTGTTTGGTTGGGGGTTTTTGGTTTTTTGTTTGTTTGGGGTTTTTTTGGTTTTTTGTGATGGCCATGGTGTTCATTTTTGAAATGCTCCCAGAAAAAGAGCTATATTCCAAGGCCAATGAATTACTACTTCTGCTTTGGCATGTAGCCTATGTATTTTTTATCAGATTGGTTTTATTCTAAATTCAGGGATGAATGAAAAGATCTGTTTAAAAGTGTTTAGATAGATATCTTTACGAAAGGGCTTTTAAATCAGATAGGGGAATCCTGAGACCTGGTTCCCATAAGTTTCCAGAAGAAGCTGTTTCAGCAGCTGAAGTTCATTTCCTCCCATTCAGCACCACACATTGTAGCCAGCAGGAGACTGATCTACTCTCAGGGCTTCTCAAGCAACTGCTTCTGACAGAGAGAGGCTGTCATGTTTTAAGTGAGATGAAATGCAGAGACTGCAAAGTGTGGGGACAAAAGTGAGTATGGAGGATATAGGGAAAGGACAGCAGATTTTCTTCATCCAGATTGAGTTAACATTTCACTGCTGCTGTTCTCTAACTGGCCTTACACTATTGCAGAAGCATCTCCCAGAACAAGAGAGAAGTAATCCTGGTCTGTTTCAGTCAGTAGAATCCTCAGGAGGTTTAAATGAACAAGGTGCAGAGTACATTCAAAATCAACAATTCTTATGCTTTTATGAGTCTTAGGTTTTTGGTTTGTTTTTTTAACACCATCTCCCAGAGACAAGACTAGCAATACAGGAGTCTCTGTATTCACATTTTGAAATGTTTTGAGCCCTCTTGGCTGTGAAAAAAATAACTGTAAATATGAGCCAAGTGATTTGAGTAAAGATTTTGCTGATCATTTTATGACTTTAAGAAACCAGAGCCAAACTAATTCTTTCTTAATTCAGGGTAAGGGTTCTAAGGTCATGTTTAAAAGTATTTTTGAGACTTCAGTCAGGATCTTTAGGTATTTTAACTTAGCAATAAACCTCCTTTTTACCCAAGAAAGAGTTTAAGGAAATAAAATATCTTCTGCTTTTAAAGCCACAAGTAGTTTGCCTTCAGTGGCATTGCTCACAAGCTGAAAATTAAACATTGTTCCAATTGCTTTGCTGGATCTGGATCAAGTTACACTACATTGTATGGGACTGAGACATGACACTGATCACCCCAAAATTTGGTGTACTGTTGATAGTATGTCTAGGCACCATCTATCTTCTGGATAGTTCAGTTTGCATTAAAAAATCATTAAAACCAGTTCAGTTTGCATTACAGGTGCAAATGTTTGTCAACAAATGATGTATTTGTGTTATAGCAGTTTCTTACTGTGTCTAGCAAGGAATCAGGGTGCTCTTGCTCTTGGTTGTTCTTACCCATGCAGTCAGAGGACCACTGCTCTGATTTGGCTGGGGTGAATCCCTTCATATCCTTGTTTCAGCACCCAGAACATCACTGTTTACTTTCATATTCATATTTCAGGATTGGAAAAGCATTTACTTTCACATTCAGGGTAGTTTCTGTGGGAAGTGTTCCTGTTAATTCTTTCGCGTAGATGGACTGAAAGTCCTTCAGCAGTTAAAACTGCTATCTTAAGAACATGTTCTTTGAGGACATTGAGTGCTTTCCAGGAGCTAGGAAGGCATTTAAATTGAATTTTAATCTCTGTATTAATGAGTCTTCTCTGTATTAGTGCCTGCAGATCCCTGGGAGTATTACAAACCTGGGCAAAATTGCTGTGACCTCAAGTTTTATTTAGCATTGATGTTTTTAAGGATATTCATATTATTGAT